TAGGTTCAAATTAAAACTACAAGCCATTGTGTTGTGGCTTAAATATGAGTGTTACAACCAAATAAGAATATGAAAAAGTGAAATCCAGGAATAAAGTGGAGTGCAAAACTGAAAATACATTATTTAAATTCTAATAATTACAGAGCAATGACTGCAGTAATTGGTTTTTACACATCACTACCTAACTTGAATCAACCCAAAACAACCAGCATTATTTCTAAGACGCTTTTGTGTCCACACAAGCCGATTATATGCATATGTGTAACTTCCTCAGATGACTGTGGTTGCTGTTCTCCATTTTCCCCTCCTTTGTAAGTGCTCACCCCCGTATATCAACCTGAGAGATGACAGACCAGCGTGTGTGTGTGTGAACATAATTTAAGTAGTATGCGGTGAGACCTGTAGCATGGCAAGGTTGACTGATGTGTCGCGATAACTCCCAGGGTCATTACATGACAGTTAAGTTGATAGATTCCATCCACAGAGGGGTAATTCTCCATCTGACAGGCTTGCCGTCTTTTACGATGATGAAATGTGGTCCTGATGAATGCTTCCACACATTTCACCACCACTGGTCTGTTTTTAGGCTGAACAGACATTCCTATCCAAGTCATGTCAAATGAGTTGTGGATCATCAAAACTTGGGGAATACACAGTGTGAGGAAAATGAAGACGGAAGCTGTTCTCACTCATAAAATCGTCAAGACAATGCCTTGTTATGCCACTGTGGCTGTACTGTGGTTATTCCTGTCGTAGCAAACATAGACAGGCTCTCGGATCAATTGGTGCAGAATTTTTCTGCACCACAAATTCTGCACCAATTTGTGGTGCAGAAATTTTACGCCCTTTTAATGAATTATGGAAATGGCAAGAAAATGAATGCAGAGTTCAAGGTTGTATACAATATATATATATATATATATATATATATATATATATATATATATAAAATACCTGTATAATAAGTACAGGCCATGCTGTTTATTCCTAAGCTTTTCTTCTCCCATTTTCCACAGTATTTGTCACAATACTTGTTCTTCACATTTTGTGGCTTTGCTGTGATGCACTGCATTTCAAACTAACTCTGCCAAGTATGTAGCTATCAAATTGTTCAAGGATGTACAGAATGCCCTGATTGGTTGAGGGTATTCTTTTTTTAGAGCAAATAACAGACATGACCTATTGCAGAGAAACAGAAGATAACTCCTATTTTTATTTGAAAATATACCCTTAGCAGAAAATTCCGATCTTACCAAAATTGCAGCTCTTGCGGAAGCTTGTAAAAGAAACAAGAATTTTAGAAAGCATTCTGTTGACTCACAAGAAAATAAAAAAAGTGAATATCCCTCCGATTAAATCTGGCATAAAACTAATTTCAGAAAAAAGCATCATAAAGTGTAAAACATGGTTGTGGTAATGTTATGGTCTGGTGCTGCGTTGCTGCTTCAGAACTTGAGCCACTTTCTGCAATCGTATAACTGTGAAATCTGATCTCTAACAGAAAATCCTGAAAAAGAATGTCCAGCCATCATTTCATGACCTTAAGCTCAAACACACTTTTGATCCAGAGCCATAGGTTCACCCTTGAACAGCTCAAACAAATATGACAGTTCGGGGGAAAAAAAACAGAGTCTCTCTCTACATCACTGAATCGTCAAGGCGGCAGAGAATGCAGTGTTGTCCCAAGTTGACTGCATCATTTGCTGACCTGTTTGCCCACTAGTCAAATTGCTGTGGGTCCACCAGGGGGCCTGCCTTCACACATTTCAACACCAGTTGCTCAAAGGATTTCATGACCACAGAAGTCAGAGCAACAATCCTGTAATCATTTAATCCTGTGATGGTGAGCTTTTTGGGGACTGGGAAAATGGTGGCATGCTTGAAGCAGGAGGGAACCTCACAACAGCTCCATAGACTTGTAGAGGATCTGAGTGAAGAAGAGGGTGTTGAGCAGAAGAGGGACATACTATCAGGTCCTGGAGCTTTCTTGGTCCTCTGTCGTTGAAAGAGCTTATTTATATCTTCCTCAGTGATTTTTAGTGTAGGCAGGGCGTCAGAGTGGAGGGTGTTTGGGAGTTGTAAGGGTTGCAGATAATGTTTCTTTCTAAAACAGGGTTATTGGTTTCAAAAACACCCGCGTACCCACAGGGAACCATTTTCAGACTTTTTTTTTTTTTTCATTCACACAGAAACACAGAGAACGGCCCACAACACTGTTTTCACTTCCCAAGACATTTAAGTGGCACCAAAGACGGAAAATGGGAAATGCGCATAAAGCAGTCGCACGAGGTACACGATGAGCATGACAAGAAAACAAGACTGGCAAATAACAAAGTGGGGCATTGAAGAACTTTTTGCAGTAGTTTTGCAGCAGCTGCAGCACAACCACGAATATGCAATCCACCATTGTTGTTGCTGTGTATAACGCGTAGGACACATTTGGGGTAAGAGGTCAGGTTCGATGTCAAAACGTCACAAACACATGAGGGCAAAATGTTCACTCTGGAACCCGTTTTTTTCTATACCTGTTTAAAGGCCATTTCCATGGCAACGCAGGACAAAAATGTTTAAGATAGACATGTGGACTGTGTGGGAATGGGCTGTAGGATAATTGGTTGGAGGTGTGAGTTGCTGGGTTTTTTTTTTTTTTTTTAAACCATCGCAGTGTGGGTTTATGGGCATCTGGAGCCAGCAATGTCATTCAAGCTTCTCCAAACTGCTGCTGGGTCGTTAGCTGAGAAGCTGTATTTTAATCATGATCAGAAAATTACCCAGTTGATTTGTTCATTTCTTCTTTTGAGTGTATCCTACAACAGTGTATTGGAGAATCACTAATAAAAGACATATATTTATATATTTTCCAAATACTGCAGACATGTTAGCTCATCAAAAAGTCAATTTTTTCACAGGGCCATGAATGCAACATAAGATGAGTTACTCCACGCTTGTTTCTTAAAAATAGTAATTAAGATATAAAAATAAGGTCTTAGAAAGAAATAGAGACATAAATCCCATCTCAAATGGAAATCAAACTTGTGCAGAGTATGTACTTCTAGCATAACATAACCCCATACCTGTTTATCGATGCATGTCTGGACATGCCAGCTCTTCTTCTCACCTTTTGTGAGGAGAAAAAGCTTAACCCAAATGCTGCCTCATGCTTCTCCACGTCATATGCTGATTTCGGAGTTGTAAAATTACATTGGAAGTGTTTTCAGTCAAAACGGCTAATTGAACATTAGTGAGAAGGTAAAGGTTGTGGGCATTTTGAAGTTAATCATTTCTTGTGTTCCAAAGCATTTTGAATGAGTTTTTTTGGGGTCAAAAGTGACGCAAATAATTCACTCTGGATGCTCCCGTGCAGTCTAAGTTCTGGAGCACAAACTGCACATGAGAGCACAGTTTAGCCTCTGTGGCCCTGAAGCACAACACTTCTTGCGGGGGTTGATTATAATTCCATTTTAAAAGCCCTTCTTTATCTGTCCCAGCATGTGGATTGCACACTCTGCGGTGCGAAATTATGACCATGCAAAGCAAAAATGAATGCAATTTAATATTATGAATTTCAGTAGTGTGCGAAACCAAAGCGAGTCGATTTTTATGTTTCTAACATGGCATGGCTTTTAACCTTTGGACGTAATTCTGCTCACGGAGTAGACTGATTAATCAATAGAGGAAAGGCTGAGCTCGGAGAACCTGATTATTGACTTTGATTGGTAAATGAAAAGGGCTCCAACCCAAGTAAGCCAAGTACTAAAACATCCAGGGCACACACACACACAGAGACCCCCTCACACACATACACGCGCACACACATAATACATCTTTCTATCTTCACTAGGATTTTGCATTAACTTCCATTCATTTCAGTATCCTAACAGAATTTCTTCTTCTAATGGGGGCTGGGTTTTGGGCCTCATGAGGAGCAGTGGCTCCTCACAACGTAGCATTTATTTGCAAAATGGGCCTTACAAATTGCTGAAACACACACACAAAGCTACTTGCCAAAGCAAGTTGCTCTTTTTTTTTCTTACTGGTGTGTGCTGTTACAAAAAGGGAAGAAAGGGTGTGCATTGTGTCTTGCTGTCCACTTATTTTTCTGTAGTTTGTTGTATCCTTCTGTCCTATTTATGGATCATCAGGCTTTTCCCCCTTAAAGTGTACTTTGTGAATAATTAATGGTCACAGCCCATTGCACCCTTTAGACTGAGTGAAGTCTAGGACACCATGTAATTGTTTAGTGAGGGCTAAGCAAAGGTAGTCCTCTTTTCAGACATTTATCAAGAGGTAATAATGTGCTCATTTTCCTTTCCTTGCATTTAACCATACAAAATGACACAAATAAATATGTAAAGATCTAAAAAGTGTTTCACTTTACGAAAACATTTCCTTTTATATTCAGTCCTTTAACGGACAGTTGCACATACTGTATCTTCCCTTCCTGTCAGGTTTACGTTGCTGTTGCATCTGTGAGTTCTGTTGTATTCACAGTAGGCCAATAAACAAGCATACACACGCGCGTACACGGTGGAAACAGACCAAATACACAAACACACACGAGATGCGGGACTATCTCTCCTCTCAGTACCGCGGTCCATCGACCCTGTATAGCTGCTCTCAGCTGGATACATGTCATCCACAGCAGCCGTGCCTGTTAGGGGAGAGTGAGAGCTGTGGAGGCTGCAAGGGAGGTGGAAATAAATAGAATGAGTAAAAAAAGAAGAAGAAGAAAGGACAGAAGGAAAAGCAAAAAGGGGATTCAGGGAGGAAACAAATGTGAGAATCCGAAGATGAGTGCCGTGCCCTGTACGAAGCTGACTCACTGACTTAGGGAGGTCAGAAGGGATATGGGGTTTTCTGTCAGATGTTACTCTGCATAATAACTCCCTGGCAAAAGGGTCAGTAGTACATCCTGCACTTTCCTTGTATTTATTTCATTTTCAGTCATCCTTGCAGATCTGTTGCTAACCCACCATGTGTGTCCCACACATCTCTTCAAGGGGTCTGAGGTGATGCCATGTGCCAGCTGCGATCTTCTTCTAATCTTCTCAAATCTGGTAAGGTAACTAATCACTCACTGGAAACAGAAGTCTGTGCACATTGTCCCAAAACAAAGCCCTCCTGTAAAATACTAAAAAAGCTCGATTAAAAAACGAGCTGAGGCATTTACCAATCGATACCAATTTCCAGCTTACATTGACATCTGATCTTGCTTTTTTTTTTTTTCCTCAAGACTGTAACTCAAAAAAGAAACAAGCTTGCTTCAGACTGCCTGACAGAGGAAGTAGTTTTGAATCAATTAAGGAACTTTCCCAATTTATGCATCAGAGCATGTCCTGAACTTTTACATTACCTTTGATTAAACTCAAGGAGTGTATCAAAGTACACTTTGTTTATTGACGTGTGTGTTGAACTAGAATGGTGGGTGTCCTCAGTTTTAATGCATGTAATGAATAGAGAAAAAAAAGAGATTATTCCGTATTTGACCTGCCTCTCACAAGTCAGAGTTGTTTATGGAAAAACTGTCCCATTCTAAACTCTGGTGGAGTGATCTTTGTATCCCTAATTAAAACTTGTAGGAAAGGGAAAAAAAAGTATAAGACCTTTAAAATTTACTCTAAATTTTATTCCCTGCGATTTGTAATTTAGATAAACTACGATGGTACCAAGACAACTAGGCATGTGCTAGGCAATGTTTCTACATCCAATATAGAAACATTTTGTAAAAATTCATAGTATCACAGTAATACATGCTTGCTACATACGAGCACATGCTTGCTATGAAGGATTTGCTGAAAATTCCTTCTGCAAGCGATCGTCCACTGTTGCTACTTGCTCGTTCAGGAGGAGAGATGGCTGCAAGTTAATGACTCGTTGCAATCCGCTGGGAAAACGTTTTAAAATAATAAACGGAACTTCACTGAACTTCTTGATAAAAAGGATTAACTGGAATTTATTTTTGTTGAATTGAATTGACTTTTTGTAAAGCGAATGGAATGTAAAGATTTTTAATATATTTGTTAATAATATATTTTTGTGATTTTTGGTGACCTGGAGAGAAGGCTACAAATTATATTTAAACCTTACGATAGTTTCAGATGGCCTTTGGTGCGTGAACTTAATTCTACACTGCAATCCATAAAATAAAATTACTTATCAAACAAAAAATGATTTAGAAATGGTGCTCCATTCAGAGTAGCTTAGGAAGGAGAAAGTTTAATTGGAAAATGAGATCAGTCATTTTTATAGATTTACTGGCTTAATAAAGACAAAGAAGTATTTGCAATTGAATAAAGAGGCTCACGCACACCAAAGCTGCTGTGATTTATATTCAGCAGTACAGTAGAGAGTAGTGAAAAAAAATTGTTGGTCTTTGAAATGGATTTCTGTTGATTTGATTTCATACAGTGTTGTTTCTCTCAACCCACTTGCTTTTGCACCTTCAATAAGGTAATAATGAAGCAAACATTCAATTTCCTTGAAAACCTTAGGGGCAATGATAAAAATAATGTTACATATTGTTTGGCAATCTTTTTAGGACATTACTTGTAGAAGATGCAATTTGGAATAATAATCATACGGTCGGTAAGGCATTAGAGGAAACACTTAATACAGATCCACCTTCCATGGAGAACATCATTTTTTTTATAAGTAAATATTTTCTCAATCCCTTGACTGCTCGTTTTGACTTGTTCTTCTCTCATAATACTTTTGGCCTCTCGTGTTTAATTGTACCTAATGTGAAAAAAAATTAAAAAGGCCATTACAGCCAAAAGCCATTTCTTATTAGTTTTTTTTTTTCTTTCTTTCTTTTTTTTCCAAGAGAAAGCATGACTGCTACTCTTGAGTGTGTTAGCAGAGTTAGCTAATGTTAATTAATTAACAGAATGATGGTTCTTTGAGTTTTGAAAGTCATCCAATCAATATAATTATTAAAATAATTATCACTTTCAAAACGATCCCAAATTGTCTATTAGAAACATTATACTTTTCTCGAAAGAAGGTGAGAGAGTCTTTGTTCTTGTTTAATGAAATCCCAGTAATCATCCTGTAAAATGCTTCCTGTTCTGTATCTTAATGTAGACAGATCACTCATATTTAGATTAAAAAGAAACTCTGAAGGTCATGTCAAAACTGTAAAAGCTGCCATCTTCAGACACTGTGATATTTGCATCTTTTTTTTTTTTTGCTGGTATTTAAGTTAGACATTTCTTCCTCATAGTGAAATGTAATAGTGGAAGCCACGAGATCTGACTCGTATCCAAAATTTGGTCATTCCAGCATCTTGTTTAGAAGTTTCTTTATCCTTTTTATCTTTCAGATTAACTTTGCTATGCACAGACAAAATGTCTCTTCATAAATTCTTCAGTCTGCTGCACTATGGTGTACTATAGACTTCTTCATAGTGGTACATTTTCAAATGTTTTGTCAAAATCTTTAGTGCCGGGTAAATGACCTAAATGCAGGACTGTAGGAAGTCAGGTACATCATCCCTTGAACTGAATTTTACAGGAAAACATCTAAAGTATTGAGGGACTCAGGGGAATAATTACAACTGGCTACAAGGGGGTTGATTGGAAGCAGAAACCCACCCTGTGTTTGAATTGTAGTGATCCTCCGTTCCCATTTGTGGCACCGTGTGCAGATTTCCGCTCCTCACTTTGAATCAAGGATTTACATGACTATGTAAAAAAAACCAGTGAACCATTTACAGAGGTAATATATTCTAGTCATATAATGAATTTGACAAATACTGTCAATGGCATGGTAAAGATAAAATACTTTTGTGTAATTGGATATTTACAGCTGGGCTTACATATCAGATTTTTTTATATACACTGCTCAAAAAAATAAAGGGAACACTCAAATAACACATCCTAGATCTGAATGAATGAAATATTCTCATTGAATACTTTGTTCTGTACAAAGTTGAATGTGCTGACAACAAAATCACACAAAAATCATCAATGGAAATCAAATTTATTAACCAATGGAGGCCTGGATTTGGAGCCACACACAAAATTAAAGTGAAATGTTCCCTTTATTTTTTTGAGCAGTATATATATCTTAGATTAACGGATTAAACAAGAGGTGGGAAATGATGGGCAGCAAAGCTGTTGAAACTCAGCCTTAATTGAGCCATAAGCTGTGCTCAGCAGCATCAGATTTTGTTGGCCGTATTGTTGTCAGATAGCATCTTTCATGGTAAAATCCATTCAGTCCTCACACTCTAATTATGCAGGGGAGAGTGGGAGTAATAAATATTACACACACACACACACACACACAGATACATGCACACATGAACTGTAAAACATAAAACTTCATGGGCAAGGAGAGAAATTTTCAGAGGGAGATCAGATTAGCGGAGCTTCTCTGATCTGTGGCATGAGAATACTGGGCTCATGTATCAACCAGCCATCTAAGCTGGCGTATCCTGTCACAACCAGAGGCACACACACACAACTAAAATATGCAATCACATACACACGCCGTACAAAAAGTTTTTGTGAGTGATGCAATAGGGCAGGAGCTCGGGAGAACCTCTAAGCAATTTGATATCCCTACACGGCTGAGTTTTTGCTGTGAGGCACGAATGTCTTTGAGCCGTTGTTAACAATGTCCTCAAACCCCACCACAGGTCTGATGCTTCATTGTACTAATAGCAATTTATTGTGAAATCTGTGTAATAATTGGGATTTTTTTTACCTCCTTTTCCTGCTCTCCCTTTTACCGTCAAGGAGACCTGATGGCCAGATGGTTTGCCCCTTCATGTGTGGTCCAGTTCAACACTTCCTGACCATTCCATGGGCCACAAGACGACGCCAACATCCACGGCCACAGCTTGACTCAAACCCTCTGCGTTTTCTGCTCCTCCTTTTTTGCCCCTCACCCCCAGCATCAATCTCTGCCCTCTTGCTCTCCCCCGCTTCGACCTCTGCTTCTGCTCTCACCTCGCATTTTGACAATCCAAGTCCTCCCTGAGCCCAACATGGTGTCCCACCTTCCCTCTTTAGTTTTTGTCATGATGTGTCAAGGCGCCCTGCTGGCAGAACCACCTCTGTCCCGCCGTGAGATCCGCATCGAGGGCGACCTGGTGCTCGGCGGCCTGTTTCCAGTGCACGAGAAAGGGGCTGGGATGGAAGAGTGTGGGCGCGTGAATGAAGACAGAGGGATCCAGAGGCTGGAGGCCATGCTGTTCGCCATAGACAGAATCAACATGGACAGCACCGTGCTGCCGGGCGTCTCCCTTGGGGTGCACATTCTTGACACCTGCTCAAGAGATACGTATGCGTTAGAGCAGGTGGGTGAGCTCAATTACTTTAAAAAAAAAAATAAAAATCAGCATAAGTGCATAAGTGGATGTTCCTGGGCATGGTTTGAACACAGGTTCTGCCTCTATGCTGATAAATAGTCAGCATGCATCCTGTGTGTAGATTCTGGCGTTTTCAGTTGCATCAGTTGACAGCTGAAAATAAACACACACAAAAAAAGAGAGATCATAGTCAGCATGCATCCTGTGTGTAGATTCTGGCGTTTTCAGTTGCATCAGTTGACAGCTGAAAATAAACACACACAAAAAAAGAGAGATCTGAAAAACAGTGCAACAAATCCAATTTGAACTGAGAAAAACAGGGATAATTAGAACTACATATTCAAGTGTTCTATAACTCGCTTATTTGAAATTTCATCAGAAATGGGCCAAAGATCTTGTCTCTGAAGATAAACGTTAATGCTTGAAAGAGGCAGACTTGAAGCTATTTTCCGTTAGGAAAATGAACCAAAATACAAGAAAGATTACTGCACTTTGCCTCCAGGAACTGTTATCTTTTAATAAAAAGACTGTATATTATCTTGGCACATCCTCATGCATGTATTAAACAAGCTTCAGACTCATTCATGAAAAACGTGGATTCTTGACATTTAGTTGCTCGGATTTGGTGGCACATTCATAGCTAAACAAATATATTTCACCACACTACCTTTGCTAAAATTTTCACACCCCTTTAACTTTTTCAAAATGTGTTATGTTAAAGCCACATGGGAATTTTAAGTATAATCAATATTCAGATTTTTTTTACTGAGTCATGACATTCTAGCACATGTATGCTTTGATCGTAAGCTATTCCCTTGTAGCGAAGGCTGTAATCTCAAGTATTTTACAGTCTCTAACAGATTTCTTCCAGAGTTTATATGCTTAGCTCAGTCCATCTACTTTTCAACAAATCGGCCTCCCTGTTCCTACTGCAGAGAAGCATCCCCAAAGCACATTGTTGCTGTCACTGTTTCACAATGGGGGTGTTATGTTCAGGATGATTTACAGTGTTGCTTTTTTCATCATTGTTGTTTTTTTTTGTTTTTTGTTTTTTTTTCCATTTTAGTCTCAACTGTTCAGAACAACTTATTTCACATTTTTGCCTCATCCTTTTCATGGCTTTTGAGAAACATTAAATAGGACTTTTTAGGACTATCTTTCAGTAATTGGCTTCTTCTTGTCACTCTTCTGTAATGGCTGGATTGTGGACAACTAGTAATTGTCCTGTTTGCTAATTTTTCAACCTGATAAACAAATAACATGAATGTAAGAGATGTATTGATTGCGATTTGACCACTTTTTCATCAGTCATGTCTTTTATTAGAGTATAGACATCTCATCTGTTCTGTTAGTTTTCTGGATATGAGCTTGTGTCCCAGCTGTCCTTTGCATTTTTAATTCAAAAATACATTTTTGCAACTCTACTACTCTACATTTTCCTTTCTCTTAACAAGGATACATTACATTGTGCTGGACCACAAAATCCCAATAAAATATATTGAAGTCTGTGGTTGTAATATGATAAAATGTGAAAAAGTTCAAGGGGTTCTTCTGCCAGGCACTTGTTCTGTTACTGTTATTCCAGAGGTATCTAATTTGAATCACGGACCTCTGTACTGAGGAAAACATTGAAAGCCCTGAACATATATTGATAATCGTTTGTTCAAAGAGATGGAAACCCATTTTTAAACGATTTCCAGGCTCTGGAGTTTGTGAGAGCCTCCCTGACCAAGGTGGACGACACAGAGTTCATCTGTCCTGATGGGTCTTACGCGCTGCAGGACGACAACCCTCTTGCCATCGCAGGAGTCATTGGAGGATCCTATAGCAGTGTTTCCATACAGGTATAACATTTACTAATATTAACAACATATTCAACACTTGGCCCCACATTACATCTTTGTGAGCACCTTCCTGATTTTATTTTTTTCTTTTGCATATGAACTTAAGGGTTTGGAAGGGTCCGGCTACCGTGGTCTGATTGTGTGTTAGTTAGCGTGCACATGCATATTTCTTTGAATCAAGTTCAGTCAGCATGTTCGTCTGTGTTTCCCTAACTCCTGTTGCTCTTGTCACAGAGCTGGGTGATTTACATAGTTTAGCATAAAACCTTTTTCTCTCTTTCTCCTCTGTGACTGCACAAAAGCCTCCTCCTATCAGTTCTGAAATCCCTAATCTGAGCAACTGTCTTTCAGTCTCACCCATTTCTTTTTCTCTCTCTCTCTCTCTCTCTCTCTCTCTCTCCTGTTTTATGCATTGGTCTTTTCATGTACTTCAAATCTTTGCTTTGTTCTGTTTCATTGTGGGTTGTCTTTATGTGCATCCACAGGCATTCCCCTTGGCTATTGGGGAAGAGATCAGTGTATGCTGACCTCAGCCCCCTTCTCCTCCTCCGTCCTGGGGCAGTCATTGTCAACATTTTCGCTCTGCCTCTTGTCCTTCCTTACCCATTATTATACCTTGTCTCCTTTCACCTTATTCTTGTTCCCCCTTCTTTTTGCTTTTACCATTTTTAACATCTGTTTTTAGGTGTGAGTGTGATTCACAGGACCTTAACGCTGCCCTACTTTCTGATCTCCGTCCTTTAAAGATTAGCTAGCTACGCCTCTCTGCTTGGCCAGTGTGTCTCTTGCTTTTTAATGAAGTCATATGGAATTATTTTATGTTGAACCATGCAGTTCAATGCCTGGAAGGTATTTACCGAGCAGTCATCGTTATTCCCCTTCATTTATGTGTGTGGATGCATCTTAGTTTGTGTGTGCTGATGTTCGTGTGCCCGTGTTGGAGTCTGAGCCACATCCAGGTATTACTCATTTTATGTTTCCCTAAATATATTTATACACAGTCACATCATGCATATTTTTACTGGCAGAAATAATTATGTCTACTTAGCCTAAAGTTACCCCATTTTTAGCATGAAGACATAATTATTTTAAGTTCAAGTTTAGAACAAGGATTGACAAGAATCGCTCAATGCGACATCTTCTGAAATCATAAGTGTGCCTATGTGTTTTGATGCTTTGTCACTCCACTGCTCTGTTTTTCCTCTTTCCATTTTCTCACAGTCAACCTGTTTCCACATTATTACTATCTTCCCTCCCTGCTTGCTCCCAAGAATAAAGCGAAGTGAACTCGCCGTGTCCCCTCAGATAAACCGTGTTGGTAGATGTTGTCGCTGTCTGGTGGCACCTGACAGAGCAATCCAGTTGCACTTCTAAGTGTGACCTTTAGTGACAATTAAGTCAACACCGTTCGTTGCTGTTAAACTCATAAAACCTTCCTAGATGGCTAAAAGCAGGCATCAGTGTGACTGTGGCAGTGTGTCTAAGAGTGTTTGCGTGGATTTCAACCTGTGTGCCGTCTACTGAGCTGTGTTATTAGTCTAATAGGATTTTGACATGTTGTCAAAACAGCTCATCAACTGCACCATGAATGAGATACAGAAAAACCTAGAGCAATGCACTCTGGAAGGATTAGACTGAAGAAAGCGCAACGTTTCTGTGTAGTTTGTTGATTTGTGCGTGCAGGTTTATGATGTATATTAATGAGTCTGTCAGGATGAGCGTGCGTAGCAGCTGTGTTTGCATTGTTTGCGTTTGATCATGTGTTGGGATTTATGGAGAGAGCATGACTAGATTCCAATCGTCATGAAAGGAATATGTTATGGACACCATAAACCTTTTAATGATCTCTGTGTCTGTTTTATGGATGCTGCACAGCACCGGTGCCAGCATCCTGCAACTTTTAGATGCATCTCTTTTCCAACATACCTTAGTCAAATGAATTAATTCCCTCATCAGCATGCCATTCAGCTCTGCAGAGGACTGGTAATGAACTATTGATTTGATTCAGGTGTGTTGGAGAAGGGACCCATCTAAAAGTTGCAGGATGGAAGCTCTCAGGTTCTAGAGTTGGGCGTCCCCGCTCTACAGTTATGTTTAAGTTTCTGCATAGGACGGGAGTTTTGTGAACGGAATAAAATTGAATTTAATTTTGAAATTGGAAACAGTATTCAGTGGGTAACCCAAGTAACAACATAAAAAATGAGAAAATAAAAGATAGAATAAAGCAAAAACACGAAGCAAACTGCACAAAAATATATTTCCAACTATTTCATTAACAGGTCAGGAGAGAATTGGGATTAAATGTGCTCTTATTCTCACCTCTTGGCCAGAGGACATCAGTTATACTATTGATTAAAGATTCATTTTGATTAATTCCAAAATTTGAATAACACAGAAGTAACAACCGAGTGACATTTACTGAATATCTAACATCGTCCTCTTCCTAAAGGAAATCCAGACCTTCTCCGGGAAGGTCTGGATTTCCACAGTTTTGACTCCACACGTAGAAATCAAAAACATTTTGAGTAATGCACACAAGAAGTGTTTTGAAGCTGGAAACGCCTCTTCAATTAGGATTCTGCTCCTCTACCAAAACCATGCTTTGAATATTTCACAGCAATTGATTATTTTCTTTGCTCTGAGCAAAACTTGTGCTGTTTAGAAGTTCACTAAATCAGCAAATTTCATTATTACAATATTTACCGCAATGCTTGTTTATGCTTAAAGCTGCTGTCACACTATTACCTATCTTGCCATGTATGCTGGCATATTTAAAAACTGTATTAGCATGTATAAACATGAGGAAATGAAGGGGATTTTATAGAACAGCAAGTCCTGTTACCTCTTTGAAGTGTGTATTTCTCTTTTGAAATTCTCCCGTCATTGGCGCGTTATCATACGGGCGAAGAGGCTCATGACTCAGGGCAACAGAACTTGGTGGATGGGACTAGAAGGGGAAAAAGACTTATCCATCAAGAAGGATATTCATTATTTTATCAAATAATTGTTTTTCATTTTGTATTTTATTTAATCTACTACAGATCTGGATAAAACAAAAAATCACATAGATTTTCTTTGTTCTTACTAGATCAATATGTTATATGATATTTTAGGCCATCTAAGAACAAAATTTCAGTACTTCATGCATGTCCCAAAAATATTAGATAAATTATTCTGAAAGTAGGTCAAGCCATCACTTTTATGTTCTGTTTCAAATGTTCTGCATGACGTGGTGAGTAAATCTTCATCAGCAGAGAGAGAATCTTCATTATGTAGTGTGAGATTAATATAAGTAATGTTATTACTAGGCCATTGCTGACGTATTCAAGCAGAAGTTGTCTGAATGCTAAAGTGATGGTACATATGCCGAATGTGCGTCAAAGGTGGCTGTGTGAATTCGATACTCCTCGGCTCAGTTTTTTGTGAATACATCACAGTGGATTTATGCAAATGCCCCATGAACTTTGTGAATAACCTAAGTGTTCATACTTTATCTCCCATTTTAAAATACATCATACCTTTTTTAAATTTGATTCTAGTGTAATATATTGGCCCTCAGTGGAAAACACTTCACAGCTTTACAACGGTGCATAAAAACGTAAAATGCATTGAGTGAACTGTTTCTTTAGGTTAACAGAACAAAGCTGACTCAAAAGAAACTGGCTCCATTGTTGACACCTCACCAAGACATCTTTGATGTAAATGAATTTTATTTAAAAAAAAAAAACTGTTTCCCTCATGGGTTTGCATTATCATTTGTTGGAAAAAAAAAAATCATGGATAGAGAATGACAAAATGTGTGATTCATTTGGCAAATTTGTGTAGTATGTTATAAAAGGTTTCCTGTGATTTATGCCTTATTCTACTGTCTATCCTTGCAGGTTGCCAATCTTCTCAGGCTCTTTCAGATCCCTCAGATAAGCTATGCTTCAACGAGTGCCAAGCTCAGCGACAAGACCCGCTATGATTACTTTGCCCGCACTGTGCCACCTGACTTCTACCAGGCCAAAGCCATGGCAGAGATCCTCCGCTTCTTTAACTGGACATACGTGTCCACTGTGGCGTCAGAGGGAGATTACGGTGAAACTGGTATAGAGGCCTTCGAACAGGAAGCACGAATGAGGAACATCTGCATTGCCACTTCAGAGAAGGTAATGAAAGAAACAAAAATAGCTTAGAGTCCAAATCTTAAATCGTCACTGCACCAAAAAGACTCACTGAGGTGCTAGATTTATAAGTTTCTCGTATTTTTCCTTTATGGCTTATCTCCTGTTCTTCTGAATTGGGGTTAAAATTACTGTGTTATCAGTGCTGAGGCAGAAAATAAAAGCTTATCTCTAAGAATTCTTTATGAGTGCTTTCCCAGTCCCATTTTCTTATGTCATTTACGACAGAAGTGAATAATAGCGTGAGACTGTTAAGCACATTTTCTTGCTTGTTTTTCTCCATTAAATGATGATGATCACAGATTGCAAATAGCATTAGAATGGAAGAAGCATTTTGGGGGCTTTTTTTCACTCCATAATCCCCCGTTTTTCTCCAGGTGGGACGTTCGAATGCTAAGAAGTCTTACGAGGCCGTAATCCGTCAACTCTTCCAGAAGCCAAACGCCCACGTGGCCGTCCTTTTCCTGCGCAGTGATGATGCCAGAGAGCTGATTGCAGCTGCCGCCAGGCTTAACACCTCTTTCATTTGGGTGGCTAGTGATGGCTGGGGCGCACAGGAGAGCATTGTCAAGGGAAATGAAATAACTGCTGAAGGGGCTATCACACTTGAACTGGCGGCAAACCCTATACCAGATTTCAACCGCTATTTCCTGAGTCTGGACCCTGTCAAAAACCACCGGAATCCCTGGTTCAGGGACTTCTGGGAGCAGCGGTTCCAGTGCTCCTTGGGAGCTGGAGGCTTAGGCCTCGGGGGAACACCTCTTCCGCTGTGCGACAAAAACTTATCGGTGGACCAGAGGTATTTCGAGCCAGAGTCCAAGATCATGTTTGTGGTGAATGCAGTGTACGCCATGGCCCATGCCCTCCACAACATGCAGCGGAGCCTGTGCTTGAACACCACCAAGCTGTGCGACAGCATGAAGGCCCTGGATGGGCGCAGACTCTACAGGGATTACATTCTTAATGTCAGCTTCACAGGTAAGTGAGCAAGAGCATGGTGAAGAGAGTGTCGAGTTCCAGATAAGGTGGTGAGAGTGGATGAAGCGAAGAGAGAAGCAAATGTTGGAGAGGAAGGATACAAGATAAGAAGAAGTAGACAGGAATGCGAGTGTAGTGTCTGCTTAACGGCCGTCTAATGAACGCATGGCTGTTGTCCATCTTCTACGCCACAGAACATGAAAAGTACTGAAACAGATCCTCTTAATTGCTATGTATTGTCAGAGCCAGCTTGCCATTGACACCTTTTACCCATGCGTAATTGATACGACACTACAAAGTTGCTTTGAGGAATGAGAGCTGCAGTTAATCCATGAGCCATATTCTTCTCTCTTACACTAATGAGATTGTGTGTGTGTTATAATAGCTCCTATAGCATGCAGCTTGTCTGTCTGTCAGTCTCTGAAGAGTCGAGAGAGAGGAGACAGAGGATTGGCTTGACTGACAGATCACGCACAAAGGAAGTGTTATAAATAAACTGCTGCATCTCAGGGACTGACACAGGTTTAGAGGTGCTTATTCCCCCACCAACCGTGACCAGAAGCAGACTTCAAAACACCCTGGCAAACAACATTAACAGCGGCTTTGCCATGGGACATTGGGGAGAGTGAGCAGGAGGGATGGAAAGAGGACGAGGGAATGGCATCATCCATGAAGGTTTGGGGAGAGAGAGGGGCTTACAGATAAGACTGACAGGCAGACTAAAATGAGAAGAGAGAGTTTGGGGTAAGGTGAAAAGAAGTGAGAGAAGAAGTAGTGAGGAGAGAAGCGAGGAGTGAACAAACAAGAGCTGCAGCGGATCCTGAGTGGGAAATAATGCGTCAGCTGAAGAACACGGTTTTATTTGAAATGTTCCCATCATGAAAATGTGGGTAAGTAAAAAAATAAAGTTGACCAAATCACATCAAAGTGAACAGTACTCTCCATTTTAGATAGTTGTGTATAATATTGATTGAAATGCCTCACATTACCTCCAGTAAAGCACAAGTAAAATATGAAATACCAGATTAAGGGCGATTTTTATTAGCCATCATACATTTATGCTATAAAGGTAGCATAAAGTAGTATAATGTAGCAAAGTAGTTGGAAAAAAATAACAGTGCACAAATAAATCAATCTCATTTTTGTTTAAGTTTTTCAAAAAGGTGAGAAAACAGTTTTTTTCTTGTTTTTTTTTTTTTACAGTTTCTCATTTCATCTGGTAGTCCTCATGCAAATACAAAAATCTATGAAATTGCATCCTTTATGACTTTACAAACAAAATGAATGCTTCATAAATAATTTTTTTTATTGTTTTAAAATACAGTACTCCCTTTTCAGTTTAAAACAATTCAGCTCATGTTTGACCGGTCCAACTCTTTTAAAATTTTAACTGCGACCTTGTAGTTTGGCACCGATAGGCAGGTCCCTACTCCGTCCAGCAGCAGTGCAGGGTACTCTTTATGCAAAGTATATTGAACTGTTTGTTTTTGCTACGCTGTCGTCCTTAATTTTTCTTTTTTACAAGTTGCAAAATTTATATCAGATAATTGTTTGAAGAGTTGTCAAAGATTCATCTATATTTATTTAGTTTATTGGTTCTTTTCTGGTTTATTTCACACCAGAAAAGAACCAGCAGCCAATGAAGTCATCCTAAAAAAAAAACAACTAAATACACATCCAAGAATAACTACGGGTTTATAAGAAATGACAAAATAACTTTTAATGTGTAATCTTGTTCACAAAAAACATCAAAACAATGTTTCACTTTGTCTCACCGTTGAACAGCAAAATAATATGTCATATACTTTATTCATATGAAGGATGTTTATGGCGTAGATCTGGAAGAAAATCAAGAAGATCATGTGATTTTCCTCACTTTTCTCTTTTTTCTGTGTTGCCGTCTCTTTCTCCCGTTACCTATCAAAACGTCTATGAGATGGATGTATTCATTCAGGGGTTCTATAGCTATAAGAGCTTGATTGTTATTCAGTTTAAGTGAGTTCAACATGACAGCACTTATTTTCAATTGTTGGTTTGGCCCTGAATGACTCATTCTCACTGCGCTGTATAGCAGATACAGTGAGTGGAAAAGAAGGTGAGGAGTGTTGAAGTTTTAGCTGCAGCATCACTATCCGCAGTGCTCTCAGTCAGAACTGGAGAACCAAACCTCCTCAGCGCACCATAGATCTAATGCACACACACAGATTTTATATTGCATCAAAGTTTTATTCCACATGTGCTAAAGTGGTATCCTCTTTTAGTGGCTTTCCTTTCACAGCACAGTGGACAGTGTCTTTTACTGTAATGAGGTTGTTTTGTTGTGTTTCCCTGACACTTTATGTGACGCACTGATGCAGCATGTTGTTTGGTTAGGAGAGTGTTTTCAGTCGCAGCTCTCTTCATCTAGTCTCGTCGAGCTAGTTGCTATGGTAATAAAGCCGACTCCATTGCCAATTGTTGAGGTGATCTGGTAGATCACGAGAACCGCTCCGAAAGAACTAGCAGCAGACAGTGGGGCAGATTTGTGCATTTTGTGCATTTTTTATGAGTCCTTGTTACATGAGTCAACCACAAAAACACGGATAAACATGTGCCAAAAAGACACATAGACAGGAATCTGCGAAACAGTCAGCTTTTTTTTTTTTTTTTACAGAGGCAACTTGAAATGCTTGCTTTTTTTCTGCCAGCATGGAATTGCAGACACCCCCAACCCACACACTTCTCAGAGCCATCATTCAACTCCCACCCACCTCCCCGATCTGCAGCAAACAGATCAGTATATACACACATGCATGCAGTCTCTGTTCAAATAGTGGTGATAGATGTGATATTCCCCCTTTTCTGCACTGTGTGTGTGTGTGTGTGTGTGAGTGTGTGTGTGTGTGTGTGTGTGCGTGCGCGTGTGTGTGTACATGCGTGTGTGTGTGTGTGCGATATGTCTGTGTTAGCAGAGGCGGTATGCCTTCAGGGCCATATTGAGCACAGAGCTTACTGCAACGTTCAGATGCAAGTGAACAACCTTCACTCATTCTCTGCCTTGTTTTCACTTGACTCCGTCTCTTAACCTCCATCCTTTTGTCGCTATTTCTTTGGCTTTTTAGTCCTTCTTTTTCCTCCATCTCTCCATCTCCTTTCCTGTTTCTCACCTAGAAAACATCCCACTTTTTCTACATTCAGAAACAGCTCAACCCACACAGACTTCACAAGGTTGCTCTCCTTCTTTCAGCTGTCTCTCCACACCGGTATGTTCCGCCACCCTTTCCTTTTACTTGTCCTTCCATCCTTCCTTCACCCATTCTTTATTGATTCTTACCTCTGAAGAATTTCCTCCTTCCACCTGTATCTCTACTAGCATGACAGTGGTTTTTGGTACTTCCACTGGTGTATTTCCTCTCTTTTACACTTGTATTCACCTGTCTCTCCTTCCTTGTCACTTTACTTCTTTTCTTGCACTTATCTTGTCTCTCAGCCCATCCTCCATCCCAGAACCTCCTGTTTTTGGCTGAAGGTTTCTTTCTTTTGTCCCGTCTATCTCACCCATCTTTGTTTCACTCAGGCCTTAGGTTTCCTCTGCTTTCCTTCGTCCCTTCCTCAATCCAGACTTTCTTTTCTCCTTCCTATCTGTCCTCTGGCATTCCCTTGTGGCCTTCTGCAGTGTGACCCAGGCAACATCTCCATCCTCTGGGATTGAATCTGCTGGGAGAACAAAAAGCTAATGGGATCTCGCTTTTGCTTTCACTTGTGACATACGAGTGCATCTTTGTGTATGTATGCACGAGTGCTGAGGGATGCTTCTGTGTCAGACACGCACTGTGAAATAAAAGAGGAAATCATTTCTCGACGAGTCTCTGTAATTCTCTCTTCGCCCTTTTAAAAAGACTTATTCTTACTTATTCCTCCAAAGACCACTTGCCTTCTCTGTCTCCCTGCCTTTAACACCAACATACCCCCTTGGGCCTTGCGTTAGTCCTTCATGGCTGAGGACATAATTAATTTCTCACCTTCTGAATGAAAAGTCTGTCTTCACCATGCTTCTAATTAAGCCAGAATAATAAGGTGTTTCTCAAGTTAGTAGAATTGCTAAAGTGTCTCACTTTAGAGATGTTTTCATGCAGAGGATTTCCAAACTAACTGCATTTGCTACTTTTTTTTTAAAATTGCCCATTTTGTTTTGTTCAATTTTTGGTCTTTATGGATTTTTTTTGAATATCCTTCCATTAGCTAAGCTCAGTTATCCTAGCAGGGGTGCCTATCTCCAGCAATCAGCGGGTGATAGGTGGCGTACACCCTGGACTGTGGTAGGAAGCTGGAATTTTCTCTGGAAAGCTCCACGCTTAAAGATCCGAGTATGGGATTTGAACCCAGATCCTGCAAGGCAATGGTACAACCAACTGCTCCGGTGTGCAGTCCAGATTTTTAGATATTCTTGCAAAATTCTCACATTTTTCTTGTCAAAGCAGTGACTTAAATGTTTTGTTTATTCATTCTTGTCTTTTGTTTGCTTTTTTATGTGTTAGTCTCATTTTTTAGGTTTTGTTGAGTGTTTTCGTTGTTGTGGTACCCTGCAGTACGTGGTCATAAGTAATCAACACGCCTTGATCCTCAGTTTGTGATTTCCTGCCTTATATATATTTGGCAGGAATATATGTTTGAGTTGACCTGATGCTCTTCTGAGCTTGTTTTACACTGTGTGTTCAGGGAACTGTGTAGATGAATAGTCTAAGCCAGATGTGTCCAACTCCAGTCCCCAAAGACTGGTGTCCTCCATGTTTTACATATATCCATACTCCAGCAAAACTGTTACAAAATAGTTGAATTTACTTTTGCTTTTTTAAGTATCTATAATGTTTCATTTGATTTCTTTCACGGGTTATTGGCCTCATACTGTCAGAACATAGTGTATTTTAACAAATACGTAAGATAACACATTTTCAAAATGTCATCTTTATTTAAATGCTAAAAACAGATAATGGTGTACATTTTTCATAATTGGTACACTTTTTACATTGTCTTCTGATATTTTGAGAGACGTTTGTCACATTTTCAGTCAGAAAATAGTGTCTTGGTAAAATAATTATAAAATTTCAAGCTCTAGTAGGGGTATGAGTCATTTTGGCTTAATTGTGTGTGGCAACTGAAAAAGCTAAAATCCAAAAAATAAAAACTACAAAAAGCAAACTACTTCAAAAGTAACAAATGAATATTTTAACAATCTTATCAGTCAACCGCTTTCATTTTCTCCTTTTGGCACCTGCCCTATCCATTTTCAGACATGCAACGTAACACAGAGCTGTCCCACTTCATTCTGATTGGAAACTTTACAACATACTTAACAAACTTCACATACGCACGCTCGGCATCTGAGGCAGGACAACAGTCTGACTTCCGGTCAGTCTTTCTCTATTAGGAGAACTTCAGCCTAGTCTTACAGGCTGAAGTTGTTAGTGGATGTGTATGTGTGTATTTTAGACAACCTGTATATGTTTAAAGGAATGGTATTGTGTATTTTCCAGGCATATTGCCATTTTGTAGCTTAATCAAGTATCTACATTACCTTCAGTTGTTATAAAAATGCACTATATATGAAACATAATTTAATAGAAGTTTGACTTTGTGATGTGACACTTTGGCCTTCTGTCTCTTTAAGAAGCTCATGCTCTTTCTGACACTGCCTTCAACATGTCATCACAGCCATGTTTCTCATTATGCCATTTACAATGGTTATGAGCAGTCTTAGACTCATGATAAGCTCAGCACCAGGTATTTGTTAACTGCTGTTTTAGATAAGAGAATAACATTATAACATGAAGCATAGCTTAAAAAAGTTGATTTTATGTAATAACCCCCCTTTAAATTTTTGATTATAGAAAACGTGGAACATATAATAAAAGTGCATTTAATGTACGTATGCAAACTTCTGACCTGCAATGTAGGTTTCTCTTCACTGTGGCATGTGGGTGGAGATTCAAAGAGAAAACATCTACCATCAGTCTCCAGTACATGTCTCTCCACTCTGAGGAGTCGTAGAGAATTTCACTGGCTCAAACTTGCACTCGCAGACACTTTCTTGATAAGACATTCTGTGAACTCAGCATATCCACCTCCATGCAGTCAATAAGAAGTCGGGAGTCCTAACAATCTATTTACTCGCCGAACTTGATTTTTGGGTAATTCAAGGACAACGCTGAAAGGGACCATCAGAGGCATCTGTAATCTTTTAGGCTGCTTTACATGTAATTACCGACACACAGCTCATTTGGCTTCAGCACACATCCAAGGTCCTGGCAACACATATTTTTGATAATTGGCTGGTGGGAAAGTCTTACTGAAAGTGTGTTTGTGTGTCTCACTGGCAAATAGCCTGGTTTACCTATTACTCTGTGTTATTTTGAAGACTTTATTATATGGCAGCTGCTGGGATAATGATTGATATCTCTTCTTCATCTTTTGATATTATCGCCACATTCTTATTGCAATAATTTAGCTGTCAACTAACCATTTAGCCCCAAAATTCAAATAAGACTTGACGCTTTGAATTTCCTGTGACAGAGGGGAGGCAGGAGGAAGATGAAGGGTTTTGCTGTCTCTGTGATTTATGGATTTCATAAACGCTAACCCCCTCTGCTGCCATCTGACATGCCATTCTTCTCTGAACACACCGAGCTTGCACAACAATTGGATGGCTTTTGCTGCTGTCAGTGCCACCCATTTGTACGTGCTTGTGTACACGCATGCACGCGCAAGCTAACAGCAGGGTCAAGGCTTTGGTTCTGTCAGCACAGCCTCCCACTGAGCTCAGAGCAATACCTTAGTTATCACACTGGAAGTACAAGCTAATGGGGTTCCCACATGCATTTGTGTGCACATCCTCACAGAAAATCTGAAGGCTTATTTGCAATCTGTTCTGATTTATCCTACTGATCTCGTTCTGTATGTATAAAAATTGAATTTGACCTGCAAATTCTTCTGTCAGCCCAAGCACAGAATGACACTAGGAAGGCGTTGCCATGTTATCAGTGCCTCTATCTACAGAGGGGCTGAGAGTCTTGTTATATGTTGAGGAATCAAAAACCTGGCATATCTTGCACTATCCCCAGTCGCATCATCATTTGACAGGCTGCACTGTATAACACATATCTCTATGTGTCAGCAGCATAGATTTGATTGCTCCGCTATAGGGACAGATGTGGCATTGTGGGAGAGACACACTTTGTCTGAGTCAAAAGGACGAAGTGTCAGCACTATCAGGTTGGATACTGCCAACAATGCGTCAGGTTACTGTTTTCCCAGTCCAAAGTCATTTTCTCCTTCTTTTTATGGCTTCAGCATCATGCCAATTTTACAATCTCCTTTCTTCCCACATCCTCGGGGTAGATGGTAATCCTTTCATAACAACATGTATACAAACCAATTTGGCAGTTTCAGCAGTGTGCCTCCCTCGCAGAGGAGACACACAGGCTAATTCCATCAATGAGTGGGTACTTATTACATTGCCCAGGGTCTTTATTCCTGTGCCTTTATGACTATATGGTTTTATAGACAGAGGCTTAACGATGCCTTTGGTGATACACATGATCAGATAAGATATTAGGCCAGCGAATTTATCCCTATGGTACCTTGGAGAGGGATATGAAGCCAGTGACATGCGTATCATCAAGCATCACTGGCTCTTGCAGCCTCTGCTAATATCTGAAACTGTCTGGTTCCCAACAATAAAAACATAATTTGAATGGCCTTCGTTTATTTCCGAACTCATAGGCCAAGGTAGCTATTGTTTATTATCTGGTGTCCACAGCTGCTTTTAAAAAGATTAGCTACAGCAAGCATTAATGCGTTTGTTTGTTTGTTTGTTTGTTTGCAATTCCTTATCTTTTACCTCCTCTTCCCCACCACAGCCCCTTTCTCCCCTCCAGGAAGTGAGACGGTAGTGAAGTTTGATTCCCAGGGGGACGGCATGGGCAGATACAATATCTTCAGCTACCAGCGTTCTGGCGAACGTTACGGTTACGTGCCAGTAGGTGAGTGGGCAGAGAGTCTGAGTCTGAACAACGATCTGATTCGTTGGCCCAAAGAGGTGCTCCCAACGTCACAGTGCAGCGACCCCTGTGAGCGAAACGAAATGAAGAAAATGCAGGCAGGTAGGAGAGGGAATTCTAACTTTTTTTTTTTTTGTCAAAGTGAAGCTTCATTGATTTTCTAGGTATGTTCCCACACATTTCTCATATTATTGTTCCCCAGGTGAGTACTGCTGCTGGATCTGTACGGCGTGTGAGCCTCACGAATACCTGGCTGATGAGTTCACCTGCTCACCTTGCGCTCCTGGCCAGTGGCCAACTGATGACCTCACATCCTGTTACGATCTTCCTGAGGACTACATTATGTGGGAAGATGCTTGGGCCATTGGTCCTATTACCATTGCATGTGTTGGGTCAGTGAAAAACACATTTTTTCTTTTTAATCAAGGAAAAGATTTTTTTTTTTTTTTTTAGAAATATATGCAAACCTGCCAACATATAGATACATGCAGATTTAAACAGAAGTTAAACAAAAATAATTGCAAATCAGTTTCTGAAATATTTCTCAAGTTTGGAGGGTGTTTCTTTTTAAAAAAGTATGATCATATCTTTTTGAAACTTAAACATAGTAATAGTAGCTGGATTTTAATGTTTAATTAACATATAGATGAGTTTTTTCCCTTTTTTTATAACTTGAACTCAATATTTCATTTGATATTTAAGTTCTATGTAAAGACATAAAGTACAGTATATATCATGACACATGCTCACTACTTCACAGAGTGGCAGAAGAAAACAATGATAAAAGAAGTTCTGCCACAAGTTATGCGTCATGATCAACAACATGAGTCATGCTGTTGATAAGAAGATGGATAGAAAAGAAAAACATATTTTTGCAACCGTGTGTCACCTTTTTGCCCACTTCATAATTACGCACAGCTTTGTTTTGCTCTGTCACATTAAATTTAAATAAAAGATATCAAAGTTTTAACATAACACAGTGGGACAAGTAATACTTTTTAAGGAAATACACATACTTTTTTCTTTCATTAAGCCAGTAGACAACAAGCATTCCTCCTCTAAATGCTGCCGACAGAATATTTTTGTCTTTATTATTTCTAACATTTCTAGTCAAGCAACACATACGCAACATAAGCTCTGCTGTATGTTCACACCATTGATTGTCTGATTCATGCCTCCCCTCTGCAGCTTTGTGTGCACTGGCTTGGTGGTTTGGGTGTTCGTCAGACATAACAACACGCCATTGGTGAAAGCATCAGGCAGAGAGCTCTGCTACATTCTCCTCTCCGGAGTCTTTATGTGCTACGCCATGACTTTCCTCTTTTTGGCCAAACCTTCTCCGGCCATATGTGCCCTGCGGCGCCTCGGCCTGGGCACGTCATTTGCTGTGTGCTATGCTGCCCTGCTGACCAAAACCAACAGAATCGCCAGAATTTTCAATGGCGTGAAAGACGGCGCGGGCACAGTGAGGCCGCGCTTCATTAGCCCATCCTCTCAAGTGAGTGAATGCTGCATCCTGTCCATCAATCTGCATCAGCCAGAAGGATGGAGAGAGTAACTGAGACACAGAGAAACTCGGTGACCTTAATTCTCCTTTCTTCCCTTTCTTTGTCAGGTATTTATCTGCCTGAGTATGATTTCTGTCCAGCTTGTCATGGTCTCAGTGTGGCTGCTGCTGGAGGTTCCTGGGACTCGGCGCTTTACGTTACCGGAACGACGACAGACTGTCATCCTCAAGTGTAATGTGCGAGACTCCAGCATGCTGCTGTCGCTGGGATACGATGTGCTCCTGGTCATCTTGTGTACTGTGTAAGTTGTGTTGGAGTCTCAGAAAGTGACCAGCTGCTAAATTGATTGCCAATCCTTTCATTCTTTGTTTCAGACATGAGATATTGGGTTTGTGTTTTGTTTTTTTTTCTAGGTATGCCTTCAAGACCAGGAAGTGCCCTGAGAACTTCAATGAGGCCAAGTTTATTGGATTCACCATGTATACGACATGTATAATTTGGCTGGCCTTTCTTCCCATCTTCTATGTCACATCCAGTGACTACAGGGTATTTTCTGACACACGGAGAGGCATGCTAATGTGCTGAAAATTTAGATTCAAAACAAAACGGCTAATGTCTAAATCCAGAGTTACTCACCTGCAGTTTTTGAAACAAAAGGAAAAGGTTTTCAATCCAAAAAGAATAATTTATCACACTTTGGCAAAATCATTTTCAATTATTCATATTTTTACATTTAACAAAATAATGTCTTCCCAGACCAATATTTGGCATTGAACTCTTAAAGATTTATTCAAAAATATAAAAGATTTTAGGGCGTATTCACACAGGTAATTATTACAGTTAAATGTTGGCAAACCTGACTTTGTGCATTGTACAAGGGCAAGACTAATCCTAAATAAAATACCTTCAACAAGCAAACAGTGTTTCTCTGCACTGATGCAGTTTTTTTACTTTTAAGTGAGGTATTATGAATGTATCTAGAGGAAAGCCTACCCATGTCTATTTATTTATATCTATGTGCATAACAGCTAGAGCAAATTGCCTGATATTTTCCAAGACCATAACTGGTGAACATCTGCTGAAAGCTGGAGGTAATTTTTGTACGAAAGGGGAGAAAGAGAAAAACTGACCTGCTGCGCTGCTGGATTTTCAAAAAGCATGATTAGGAACGTCACAAAAGTTAGAATTTATTATCCATCCTTGGAAGTATACCCAATATTTTTGCCCATTTTTTGTAATCAAATAAATTGTTAATCAAATAAATCACAGATGATTCTTTTTGTTCCCACTTTCCTACAAGTTGGTGCAGTATACTTACTTTGACATGCAGCAATTTTAGAATCATACATTTTTGAGAACCAAATAAATTAAAGTGATGCGCTTATAACCACTTTTTAAACCCATCTGCAAAATCACGTTTGATGTAGAAACATCATTCTGACATGATTTCTTTAGTCACATGTTACTCTTTAGGGTTTTGAGAAGCGCCTCATCAAGTCACAGTTTGGAGTTCTTTGTATCATTTTTTAATAAAAACAGAAGTAAATTTCATCTATGATCACTTCTGCACCTTCTGTCTTTAGGCATAAAAAGAGGGTAACTGTAACCTGTTTCAAAAATAGGTGCGATAGATTGATCCTCTCTGTCTTTATTACTACCAGTTTCCTCAATCCACAGAAAAAAAAAGCTAACAGTGGCAGCAAAACAGCTGCAAAAAATGTAGGAAATTAGACTGCACATACTTTATACAAGAAAGATTAATTACCAAAGTCAATTTACAACAAGAAAAGAAGAAGAAGAAAAAATAAGTTAAAATTCTTCATGTCGAAATCTTTTGTAGTGTAACCTCAAAATAATACAGAGGGGATCTAACTTTAAAAATCTGTAAATATTGCAATGGACTGACGACCTGTCCAGGATTTACCCCGCCTCCTGACTATTGACTGCAGGAGATACACACCGCCCCCCTCATGACCCTACAAGGACAAGCGTGTTACATAACGGAAGGAAGAATCTGTAAATAAAGATAGTTTTAAAGCTAGAAATAAATATTTAAAAAAATCACTACTTTCTAGCTATGCCTTATTGCAGCTCCTTTTCACTCAGCTTGATTGACAGAAACAGCCAGGAAGCACAGGGCACAAACAGGTGCAGTGGCAACTTTAATTTGTAGCTAATCCCATCCGCAGATGTCCCAATTCTGCTGTTCTGAGGTGACAAACAGGCTCCGCTAAACTGCTGACACATGTCCAGACTTACCATCAAAGGCGAATGAGTGTTCGTCTGAACAGCAAAAATCCTGAGTGTACACCTACACACCTTAAGTAGACGTGTTCACAAACACAGTCTGTTCCAAGGGGCATGAGAGAAGTGGTGCTGTCTGAGCTGCCCATTTGATCCCTGAATAAAAGTAATTTTTTATTATTTTTTTTTTTTTGGCCGTGTCTGTCCTTTTAAATGTGTCTTTCTCAGATAGAAAAGAAATATTTCTAAGAAATCTTTCTTAAAGATTAGTCTAGCTCAGACACAATGTCCTCCCACACTCATAAATATTTACATAAACAGAGGAGATGTTGAATTGTTGATTACTGACGAATGTGCTCAGCTGTGCTGTGATTTTACTTGCTGTAACACTTAGAGCAGTGATTAGGGGAGCCTGAGCAGAGCTTGCAACAGACACCTCTGCAGACATGTGATCAAGAGACTGGGACAGTACTTAGCATCGATTTACACAATGAACCGCGTAGGACAAACTTAAAGTGAGCAGCGAGAGTCTATTAAGTTTGGCTTTTGTGTTCTGTGTTGATTAAGTCTTTATTGATCTATTCAGTAATTGTTATTCTCAGAACTGGTGTAAGGTAAAGAGATCTGAAGACAAGAGTAGAACTCTAGTGTCCTACTGGCTCTATTCATGATTAGGAGTCGGATGCACTTGTATCTGTTTAGCAGCATTTTAATGTTTCATTTTAGAGATCAGTAAACCATACTGATGGATTGGGTTTATCTACAATAGTTCAAAGTGCCAGAAGCTTCATTGTATTTACTGCAACAGACCAGCATTATTGTGAAATGGAAGGAACATGGTGGATTGTTTCCCCCATGATCTTCCTGCCACCATGGTTAACCCTGGATATGGTGTGTTTAGAGTGATGTAGAGCAGGAGTTCTCAGAAGTACATTTTGTTTTGCATGTAAGCCAAAGACTTCAGTTTTGTTCTCCTCAGTAGATTTACTAGGGTCCTTTTGAGGGGAACTGTTTGCACTGGATTTTATTTTGGTACAAGGACTGAATACAAATGCATGGCTCACTTTTCAGATTTTTATTTGCTTCACAATTATGCACTATTTTGTGTTGGTGAAATCATAATATACCACACTCAACTTTCAAAGTGTCGATAGTTTTTACACTGTGCAGTCAACAGCTACTTAAGTTATTTAACTTAACAAGCGTAAACTTTATTAACAACAATTCAAATGATACTTTTATCTTTTTTTTTTTCCAGGTTCAAACCACGACCATGTGTATCTCTGTCAGTCTAAGTGGCTTTGTAGTCCTGGGTTGTATGTTTGCGCCCAAGGTCAACATCATCATGTTTCAGCCCCAGAAGAATGTGACCAGCCACCATCTTAACCTCAACCGCTTCAGTGTCAGCGGGGCTGCCACTACGTACGCATCCCATGGTAGGTTGTTTTTATTGAGATGGCAGGTTTTCTGTGACAGATGGGCTTGTTTGGCATCCACTGTTCAAAAGGATTCCATGCACTGAATCCTGAATTACTGGCACGGTATGTTTACTTAAAGTTATTGGTTTTCTAACCAATGTTCTTTTTCAAAAAACAAAAAAAGAAACCCCAAAGTTAAATGTAAACACATATTTTTCATTATAGTATTCCTCTGTTTCACTGAAAATTGTACAACAACGAAATATTACAATAGCAAAATTTTACATTTTATTGACCGTATGTTCTAGGGGATCGTCTTGCCAAACAGTGACAAAGTTGTCATTGTTTGGCCACAATGACAACAAGAGTGTTTGGAGGAGTCACTGGAAGGCTATTAAACCGAAGAGCAGCTGTCGGTCAAAGTGAAGGTGGCATTATGCTGAGTGTCTCCTTCACTGACAGTGATCCCAAACATGTATCTAAAATAGTTCTGGAAAACATAAAGCAGGTTAAAACTGAGCTTCTGGAGTAGCCCTCATCAACTTTTTGAACATCTCTCAACTGCTTAAGAGGTAAAGAAACCAACTCTTTGACTTTCTATTAAATTGATCAAGGCCAAAATAAATTTCACATTCACACCAATGATGGGTGCATTTAAATTTTTGACTGTTCCTTTCAGAACAAACATACAACATGTGGGTGTGGGTTTACAACTGTCTTAATTTGATCAAAGCCTTCTGTTAAAACAGAAATATTGATCACCAATTTCTGTTAAATTGGGAAATATCAAGTTTTGCCAACGTGATGTAAAACACAGAAGGGAATAAATGGTTTTCACAAACATTTTTACTATTTTCTTTTGTTCACACGAGAAGTAAAAAGATTAAAGTGGCAGCGTTTTCTCATGTGGCCACAGGGAACAAACAGTGCTGCTGTATAGGACATTAGAGAAGAGAGGAGAGATTGCGCCTTTTGCGCACTTGATGTACCTCAGGATGGAAGTGGCGCTTAAATTGATTGGTTCTGGTCTCAGAAGCAGTTCACTTTTTTTTTTTTCCGATGGGTGTTTGTCCTAGTTTCTTTGTCAATCAGTTTGACACACACTGCAAACAGAACTCACAGAACGAAGTACAGCTGATCAAACAGGCAGGAATAAAACAACAAGGCCTATAGTGAGGATGGTGCCAAAAAACCTGAGTAGTTTATTAAAAAGGCGCTTGAGGTAGATGCATTTTCTTCCTCAAAACTGCAGAGTGATTAGGAGACATGAATACGATCAGAAGCTTTCATGAGAAATTCAGCGTGTTTGTAGAAATTTTACATTTTGAATGTTGTTCAAGTTTGAAGCCCAAGGAGCTGTTTTCATTTTTGTGTCAAAAGTTGATTGAAAAAGAAAAGTGAAAATAAGAAACCAAGTAGAAGGCAGCCAAGAGTGGAGTCAAAACCCAAGGGAAACATTACATTTTTTAGAGCAGTTGTATGTTAATTTATAAGGCCAAAATCTATATAGTGATTTGTCCAGGTAGGAGGGCAATGAATGAGAAGTAGTACAAGATAAGATAAATCTTTATTGCCATTTACCCGCCTACAGTGTAGTAGCACAACAAAATTGGTCTACTGATCCATATAAGGTGCATCGTGGAATAAGTATGCTGGAAGCAAGCACTAAACTTTGATGTACAGTAGTGGTTCTGTTTTCTTTAATCACTCAAATACAAAATAATAATGCTTTAAATTAGGAAAGAAGACAATGAAATGAATCCAGCAGGTCAAAATAGGAGTATGGATAGAAAAAAAAACATTTTCCTATCCAGTAAAATGTTTTCTTTACTTATTAATTATCAATCTTTGTGTTTTAATCAACTTGTTCCTTCTTGTTCGTAGCTTCTGTCAGCGCCCACTTCGTCCCAACAGTGTGCAATGGGAGAGAAATAGTTGACTCGACCACTTCCTCTCTGTGACAGCATCCAGTCCGCTCTCTAAACCCGCCCCTGCGACTGTTAGCCAAATAACGAACATTTTTCACCCCGGCTCTGTTTTACCCCCCTTTTTCACACAAACACTCTTTTACACACGCACAAACAAACAAACACAACCACACATACTGAATACAAGCAAACGCCTTCCTTGTGGACTAGAACTGTATTGTTTCACAAATGTAGAAAGTGTGTAACTATAATTAAATTATTTTCTAGGGATGTATATACATGGAATCAACATTGTTGTACGTAGAGAAACAAAAGAACAAAAAAAAACTGTTTTTAGGAGGAATTTTTTGGAACCTTTGTTTTTGATAGCTTTGTTTCAATGTAAATAGACATGAGCTTAAACATGGTAGGGGGACTGAGTCCTTCCATCTGGATGCACATTTGTGGCTCTGCTTGCCTCACTGCAATACCCACAGACTTTTGATTCTCATGCTTTTTTGTAGTACACCATTGTAATAACTACCTGTGTATGCATTTCTAATGTGGATCTGTACATTTGTATATTATACTACTGACGGTTCAAACAGCACAATGTTAAAGGTCTTGTGACACTAGAATGAATGTGGAAAAACAAAAAAAAAGTTAAAACTGGACAAACTAGAACAGCCAGAAAGGAAATTGAAAGGGAAAGAAAGGAGAGAGAGAAAAAAAGAGATTCATTAAATTTAGTGATATATTTCTGTTAGAGAATATATCATTTTGCATCTTGATAGATGTTTGTTGTATTCTGGATCTTTGTAAAAAAAAAAAAAAAAATCCTTCTGTGGCTGTTTTGGCAGAAAAACACGTTTTGCTTTTGATACAAATGTTCCTATTTTCTAATTATGGAATCCCTTTATCTAAATGGCCATAATTCCAGACGTGTGTTCAGCAAAGCATCGCTTTTTCACTCCCACTCCTAAACTGCTGCGTCTTTTAAAGATTGCTGTGATGTATTACTAATAATAATGAATAGCTGCACTGAAAAGACAGTACTGCTAATGCTTTATGTAAGCCCCAAAGAACAAAAATAAATCAGTTTTTCACCCAGTAATTGAAGTGCCTTGCAAAAGAATTCAGATCCCATAAACCTTTTCACATTTTGTCCCGTTACAACCACAGACTTCAGTGTATTTTAGTGGGACTTTATGGGATAGAGCAACAGAAAGTTGTGCAGTGAAAGGAAATTATGCTAGGTTTTGGCACTTTACAAGTAAAAATCCTTTAAGAGGTGTTGCATGCATTTTCTGCTGAGTACTTGTAGATCTACGTTTAGTTGTATTCACGGCTCCATCAATCAAATTCTTTGGGGTATATCTTTACCAGCCTTGCTCATTTGGAAACTAAAATTGTTGCTCATTACTCTTTGCAATGCAGCTCAAATTGAGTCAGACTGAATGGGTGTCATCAGTAAACTGCAATTGTCAAGTCTTCTGACTGTCATTGTAGCTCTAGCTATATGTTTAGTGTTGCTGTCTGCTTGAGGATGAAGCTCAAACTAAGTCTAAAGTGTTTTGAAGTCTCTAACAAGTTTTTATTCAAGATTCCAGTTAAATCACCTGCATTCATCTTCCCATTAAATTGACTCGCTTTCCCCAATAGTGCTTACTTTTACTTAAGATAAGTAACAGCTGGATAAGTAACTGTTATCTCCCCTCTCCTCTAAAGATCCTCGGACCCGAACAACACATATCTGGAGCTCTTCCACTGTCACTAATAGCTTCTTTGAAAAGGGCTAAAGTTACTAATCATAACACTGAATTTTCACTGTCATTTTAAAATGTCTGGGTGTATGTGTATGCCACACTTTTCAGATTTTTATTTTCAAAGGGGACCTATTATGCAAAATTCACATGTTTTTGTGCTTAGATCTGAGTCAAAATTCTTAAAAAAAACAACAACACCCAGCTGTTTTCCATTAACTTTAAGTTAATGTTTCTTGATGTCTGGAAAATGTGCTGTTTCAAAAAACTCCCGATTATTGAGTAACAATAAGTGAGCACTGCGCCGTTACAAAGCAAACCAAATGGAGCTCCAGCATGTTTGGTCAGCTGGTTTTACCGCTGTGTGTGTTGCACAATGGCTGCTGGACAAGACAGGTGTTTTGTTGTTGACATACCCTCCAGAAATGGTTCATCCTTGATGGTTGTGCTGGAGTCTCCGCTTCGAATTCTGATTGGGGGGGGGTCAAAGATGCTTTCAGCCATTTTTGTGTGTACAAAGTGTGAGTGTAAACGTACTGAGGAGTGCAGCCAGCAGCACCTTATTTGTATTTAAAGTGAGAGAAGACCCTAAAACAGCTGTGAACAGAGATCAAAATAGACAGAACTGAGAAGATAAACTGTCATTATCTGCGAATGATTTTGTGCAAGGAACGCGTTTCGTACAGCTCGTTGGTCTATCCCAGTGGTCCCCAAACTACGGCCTGCGGGCCGGATCCGGCCCGCCTCCACATTTGGTCCGGCCCCATGAACAATACCAGAGAGCATTCAGATTTTTTTTTCATATACCGTATTTTCCGGACTATAAGCCACTTATATGTGGATTTTTCTTCAATCACCAGGGGCTCTTTAGCAGGAAGTGAATCATTGAAAGTCAAAATTGGAAATAAAAGAAGAAAGCGCCCATTAAAACGGAATTATGTTTTAATGGGGAATTGAAATTTGAGAATGTTGATCAGTTAAATACCATTGAGGGGAAAAAGAAGATTTTTCTTTTTTTTTTTTTTTAAATACTGGGATCATTGTGAGAATTTGAGGTATAGATATTAGGATCCAATAGATGGCAGTAGTCCAACAATAATGGACGCAAGCTGCTGTTGAAATCTGAAGAAAAAGAAGAAGAAGAAGAAGAAGAAGAAGAAGGCGCCCATTTTCATTCAGCACATGCTAGTAGCAGACACAAAGGATCAGCACTTTTACTGTTAGTTACTATTCGGAAACTACCGTAATCAGTTCAGTTAAATCTAATCTTGGCAACTTTTTCTTTTACAACCGTAATAAATGTGATATTCAATTGACCTGTTGTTACTCAAATTTTGGGTGTCCGCCCCCCGCCCCCGCATCGCTGTGGAAAACCGGGAGCAGCAGAGGTATCTGCGGCTTATATGTGTATGTTTACTCTTCTTTTTTAAAAAAAACTTTGGGGTTGCGGCTTATAATCCGGTGCGGCTCATAGTTCGGAAAATATGGACTATAATCCTTCCTAGATTTTTTTCTGTGAAGAAGAGAGGGTTACTTGATTGTGCTTTCTGGAAAACAATAAATTTTTACATTTAGGCACTCCTGCAATCGTCACACTTTTTCTGTTACAAACTGACTCCGGCCCCCCACAAGAGAAGGGAAAAGTTATGTGGCCCTCACAGGAAAAAGTTTGGGGACCCCTGGTCTATCCTAACTTGTTAAACAAAGCAAAGTATGTCCACTCTAAAACCTTTTTAAAACCTCATATCTTTATTCTTCCATTTCATAATAACATATATTTTTATGTTGCTCTATTACATAAAAACCCAATAAGGTATACATTACGTTTATAAAGTCACAAGAATACTTTTGCAAACCACTGTATGAACATCGCGTTCTTAATTTGCCAAAAAAAAAAAAAAAAAGAAAATCAACAAAGTAAAAGGGTGCATTTTGCTGAACACACATTGAATTTTTCCACCTATAGGGGAATAGTAGCTTAAGATTCATACCCCATAGATACCATCTGTGGTGATATTTTGAATATGGCTATGTGCCTTAATGTGTGTTTGATAGATTGATGTTGTTAGAGATCAGTTTTACACTACTAGCTCCAAGTCTTTGTTTGGTAAATGTAAAAAAAAAAAAAAAAAAGAAAAGAGAAAAAAAAAAAGTGGCCTCGGTATGAAGACCATGCCTCTCAGGCAACAACTTTGTTTTCTGTGAAGCCCAGTGCCATTGATTGTTTGCCTAATGTAATGGACCAGTAACTCTGACAAAACACAAACTTAAACTGGCTTTCTCCAGTCTGACATAAAGAAAAACAGGAATATTTCAAAAATGTATATTCACTCCCATCCCCCCCCCCCCCCCTCCCCCCCCCCCCTCTTAACACTTTAACACAGTAGTTTCAGGTACGGAAAGCGAGGTGAGGGGTAGACAGATAGGCTACATCATTAGGAGGAATTCAGTGAGTATTTGACTTGTTGAAGTGTACGGTTTACAAGCTTGTGTTAAAATGTGTTTACGTTGGGAAGCACAGTGGAGCAGCTGGCTGTGGCAGTCCCACTGAGGCTCAGGAGAGGAAACAGAGCACATTCTGTCAGCTGCTGGCTGATCGCTGCTAACAAAAGATGTTAAGAGTAGAACAGATATCCATAACATAGCATAAAAAAAAGATGAGGTCATTCATGCAGATGCAAATGTGGCAAGAAAGACTGTGGCCTCTCTGTTGGCTATTAATAAGATTGTTGAATAAATTCAATCAAAAATATGTATTAGGTCCTTAGGAGGAAACTTAAATAGCTGAAGATAGTGGAGTAATTTATTACAAATTTTATTTCAGTCGTTTGATTTTCCTGAAAATATTTGTTGGATTTAGAGATAGTAGTAATTTATTAACTGATCTTAAATGTTTACATATAATATGCTGTCTAAAATAAAGTGTGACTGTTACATTTGATGTTTTCAACAGAATGTGATCAGAATCACTTTTTAAAAGCTGTTTTGTCAAGATTAACATCGACGAAAAGAAAAAAAAAACAACATACGACGTAGATGTGGGGAGAACTTTTAGAGATTCCATCTTTTGACTGGTCAGCATGTTTGCACTGCCTCCTGCGACTACTACACTGAATGATAAATGGAAAGAAATTTCAAAGGATGTGTCAGGAGGAGGCGACCTACATTGGGGTGTGTTTGTTAGGTGCAGAGTGCAGCGGGAGAGAGCGATGTGGCAGAGGAGAGGGATGCTGCTGCCGCTGCTGGATTATGTAAAGCACTCCCACAGCCCAGAAGTCAGCAGCGCCTCTATGGAAGCTCAAAGCATCTCGGAGATTCACAGTGTTTGTTAGAAGAAGGTTTAGCCATTCACTCTGTGGTCCTGCTCTCACAAGATACACACCACATGACAGGTTGTTATGGGCAACCACAACCAACACATTCAATGCTGGAATGTCTTAGTTGTCAGCAGGGCTGGGAGAAAGGGTGATGAGTGGCTGAGTAAAGAGGAACAGAAGGAAGAGAGATATCTAAAAAAAAAAAAAAATGGCTCGGCGGTTCTGATCCAAGTTGGCAGAGCCCAATGAGATCGGGCTAAGTAAGGCCCTGTACTCACGGCTTTTTAATGGGCACACAAACAGAGCACTTAACCCTGATTCTCCACTCATTTAGTCCAGAGACCAGTCCAAGACAACAGTCTCACACTCTTCTCTGACCCTCTCGCTCACAGTCCGCCTCACCCTTCAACCTTTCCCTCACCACCTTTTGTGCAGCCAAGTCGCCGCTCCGTGTGTGAAACTTGTGACTGATTCGGTCTCAGCCAGGACCACCAGAGCCAGAGCGACAGACTGGTGGCTCACACTTGAACTGGAGCGCTCTTCTGAAGCACATGTCGTGGAGGCTGCTCCGGCGAGGTTAGAAAAGCGATACAGGGGATGACAGACAAAAGGATCTGGGAAACGAATGTTGGGAAGTTAAAATTGAAAACTCAGATGCAAAGAAATAGCATTGCTTCAGTACTCATTACCTTGCGGAAATGATCATTT